TTACGGCCGTATCCCGTTGAAACATCAGTTCTCCTCCGATCACCGAAGTTAAGCAATTTCGAGCCTGGTCAGTATTTAGACGGATAAACGCTTGGGAATAAACTTGGGATTGAGGATGGTTTCATGGATAGCGGATCGAAATTAAAAATAGGAGAGCCGAGTTCGAATTTTGGTTGGGTTAATCCTATTCACTTACGTGCTAATAACGTTGGGAAAGTTTGCATCAAACCCCCACCTCCATAAGCTGTGCGTAAATTAGGAAGACAGACTGGGTCCTATTGAGTGGAAACCAGTCCAGGAGAAGGAGACTCGAACGATAATAAAGGTTTGTATACATGCGGATGAGGAACGCTTGGGAATCCAAATTTCACACTTCAGTTTCTAGTATGGATTTTCAGGTCCGAATGAATTCTTTAGGCTAGACTCATGGAGACTTCCTCAATCAGGACGAAGTTCCTCCATCAGGTGTGAAAAGGCCTTGGATTTGTATTTAGACACTAAAGAAAATAATTGCGCGGTTATTAACTAACAGGCGTCTTATAACGAACGCAAGATAAATAAGGCTTCGAACGGCAACTTCCTTTTTCAATATCTGTCTATATTTCTGAGACATTTACATTGTTTGGGCAATAGTCCTCTTCTTCGTTACTATATTCACTGCATTTTTGACCGTTGTACATTCCGGCCTTCTTCAAGTGATTAGAATTTCGAAATGAACACTTTATTTCGTCCACCGCGGCAGAATGTTCTAGTTCCACGTGCCATGCCCTTTCCGGATGTGTCAGTATCAGTTATCTCTATTTTGACTCAACGCCTCTGCTCTAACCAGGTATTGAACTCACAACTCTTTGGGTCAAGCCACTGGATTTAACCAACGCTTTTATTTACTAGGCTATGTGGCCATGACAGATGAGGCAGATTTTTCCCGCAGTAGGTTGCCATTTCTTTTTAGTTTAAAAGTCTGTCCTGTAGTACTCATAGCTGATGGGGGGGGGCGAAGAAGAGGATTCATAATTTTCCTAAGGGTATTAGCATGTAAATGAATATAATGTGGTTGTCTGGAAATTGAACTCGTCTCTCCGATTCCTCAATCCAAGCCGCTAACCATTACTCTCCCTATGGTATCTTGACTTTATGAATATAAATGTAGTACCACATCGGCGGAAATGTCTCATCATTTTTCAGTGGAAATGTCTAGATGCAACAATAAGACCTGTGGTAAAATGTCCTTCTTTCGCACTTCTCACTTGTGGAACATTTTTTTTTTCTTTTTTTTTTTTTTTTTTTTTGCTTTCTTGCATTCCAGTCAAGTTAATTTTTCAAAAACTTAAATGCTATTCCAATCGACATCACCTGCCTTCTTAAATCCTATTCTTTTATTGTCGGCTCTCCTTAGAACGTACATAACATCTAACACTCACTAACATCTTCATTCTTGGTGGCTTTATTGCCTTGCTTGGGAACAAGTGATTACAAATGACACAACATGCAGATAATATAAAACTGGGGAAAGAATATAGCTGAACTGTGAATCAGTAATAGAAAAAATACATATAAAAGCATGAGGTGTTGAAGGCAGGAGGGTCAGAAGAAAACAACATGTATAAATGGATAAACGTAAAGAAACCTGAAGGTGTAGTAAGTCGATAAACACTGATTATAGATAGTAAGTATAGAAACTGGAGGAGGACCGTAATCACCCATGTTGGAACAGGGCATATAAAAGAATGAGCGGATTAATAGGATTTCTAAGAGATATTCTAGACCAGCTCTGACTTTTCTCTGACAGTCTGTGATATGACGTATATAAACTCTAATATATTATTGATATTATCATCTGTGTATATTAAGTTCCCTTCTTTGTATGCAATGTGTTGTCTTACCTCCAATGAGGCTATTGCGTACTTCCACTTACTATAAAGTTAGTAGGAAAAGTAAAACTGGCGGGAATGGTGCCATAGCCCGTTCGACTGTCGAAATATCTGCCTCAGCAGAGAGGAACCCGGACGAAGTTTTGCCGAAGGGCAAAGTTTCGTCCGGGGAGGTAGACAGACCCAGAACCTGTTTATACGTGTTGTAAAGGAATATTTTTGGCCGAGTCTATGGGCTCGGAGAACACACGGTAATCTCGGCCTTGTGCCACATACATCCCTCGTGGTGAGCTGTTAAATATTAACGGTGGCATAGCCTGTTCGACTGTCAAACTTTCTGCCTTGAGCAGAGAGGAACCAGGATGAGGTTTTACCGATGGACAAAGTTTCGCCCGGTAAAGTAAAGAGGCTCTGAACCCGTTTGTACGGGTTTCTAGGAGAATATTTTTGGCGGAGCCTACGGGCTCGGGGAACCCACGGTCTAGTGCCAAATACATCCCTCGTGAGTAGGGGCCGGCTGTTAAATATTAACAGTGATATAGACTGAACGCTGGTCAACCGGACACACTCCCACGTCGTTTAACACACTTCTGCTGTATTTACTGTTCAATACACTATTTATCTGCAACCTCTTGTTTTGTTATTCCTTAACCAATTACTTAGTCACAACGGTATCCTGGAGAGCCGTGTCCAAACTATGATCCTTACGCCCTATATGAGAATTATCATTTAACTGATAGCATTTTACTTAATATACGGGATAGTACTAGTCGGGCGATCTTCTGGGCAAATTGTATGTTGTTACCTGGGGTAATGTTAGTAAAAGTGTTCATTCTTTTTCATATGAAGCCCATACCTCGGATTACTATTTGTACAGTCTATGTCTTCATTGCCCACATCCTGTTAAACTCGATCTCCAGGTCTGTATTTGGACAATTTCTCGATAATTTCCATGGAGATGCTTCTCACAGATGGTACTGGTATGTCAAAAAGCATACATTTCTTGAATTTCTTGTATTTTATGATAATACCAGGTCTTTTGTCTTGTATTTCCATGTCTGTTTGAATTAACATGTCCCAGGGGATAGTTACAACGTTATTTTGGCTATCTGTACTGGTACTCAGCGGTTTCGATTTTGTGCTGTTTGCTTATCTTCCAGTGCATATATGTCGCTACCTTATGTCTGTGGGTATATTCAATTTTTTGCTAGTTACAGACTCCCTGAGATAAAATGGTTGACAGTTTCATCATATTTTACGCAAATCCTGTATTTCGGGTTAGTTCCAGTCTTGATTATATGACGGTGATATGATCTGATCCTGACCTTTCAACCCTGGTGTTCCTCAGCCACTGATGTGTTTTCTCTTGGTCCACTTCTGCTTATTTGGTTCTTTTTAGGTATTAGCCCTCCCAGTTTTTCAGTAATTTCATTCGGCCAAGTTGCTTTAGTTTCTGTTTTATTCATTTTGATGTAGATGGTATTCGCTTCGATTTTTGTTGGTAGGGTTTCAAGTATAGTAAGCTGTTTTTTGAAGAGTACAACTTCATTGATCATGGAATTGACTTGATATTTTACTACCACTACCACCACTACTATTATTATTATTATTTTTTATTATTGTAACGGTTATCAGTGCGAGAATTAGACATGTTTGCAATCTGAGTTCAAATTCTGTCCTAATCTGCTTATGTTTACTTGAGCATGAATACCCTGGGGGAAGGCACGGATGCATTTCTACTCCCCGCCGGCTATGGGTTAAATAGCTGCATATAATGAGTTCCCTGCCTTTCGGTGGCAAGCTCTCTAAGAGAAAGAAAACACTGATGTTCCAAATCCCGCATAAGACAACGGGAAGCCATTCCACTACAGAAAAAAAAAAGAATCTGTGGATAGTCATGAAAGCCTAAAGGGATTTGGTATTAAGATCATTTCTCCGAATCCAAGACAAAAAATCGCATTAAAAGAAAGGGAATAACAGAATTAAGAAAACGAAAATTGTTTAAAACAGGAAGACAAGAGATTATTTTTTTTACACAGTGGAAGATCTTAGAAAATCGAAAAACTGTAGAAAATTCATAAATTTAAATATATATATATATATATATATATATATATATATATATATATATGTGTGTGTCGGCTGTATCAAAATTATTTTTACAAATTTTACAAACGTGTTGTTCACACCAAAAATATGGAGAGAATTTCAAATAAACACATCTCCGCAAATCCTTCGTTCCTTTTGGGTTAAGTTTAAAGTTTACTCTAGACGCTGTTGAATGTACAGTCCTAAAATATTTTACAAACTTTCGGGGAGGGTTCCTGATACCAAAATAAGGTAAAATGTCCGGATAAATATATGTCCAAAAGGTATCGTTGTACCACAGCACAGTAATTCATAATAAATATTCAAAATGTCCTCCGCTTGCTTCTACACACAAATTAACTGGAGGACCCTTTCAAATATTCCCATACGTTGTCGAATGGTTTTGCAAGCACCCATGACACGTTGATGATATCTTTGCATTATTAATATCTCTTGCATAAATCAATTGTTTTCAGTGGCAATACAGATAAAAATCCAACGGATTAAGATCGGAGGAACGTGCAGACAATTGCACCGGTTATCTCTTATTTATCCACCATTTATGTCAGATGTTAGTGCATCGCGAAAATGTGACTAAAATGTGCTGCAGGCCGACATGCATAAATCACATGCATTTTCGTATTAGAAGGGATAAAACGTCTAGTAGGTCTGGAAGTGTGTTCGAAGTAAGGTCCATGTAATTAGCTCTTGTAAGACGTACGAGGAAACATATGGACCTATGAGACTTCAGCCCAGATTAATCGTATACAGCTGTGGGCGTCTAACCTGTATTTTACCATAGATATTGTTATGGTCCAGGTTAGGACCAAGGAAGAACAACGCGAATACAAGAGTAGAAATAACGAAGGTATATTACACGAAATAATAATACAAAATGTGGAAGGTGTTAGTATGGCTGTCAGTCTGGTCTGGAGTGAACTACTATCGGCTCCACCACCCAACGAGAGAAAGATGTGGCACAAGGCCGAATTTTTACGTGGGTTTTCCGAGCCGGTAGCTCGGCCAAAAGATGCCCGTAGAAACTGTTAAAACAGAATCGGGTTGGTCAACCTCCCCGAACGAGGCTCTGCTCAGAGGCAGAGTGTTCGACCGTCAAGCCGAGAAGCTAGGCTCGAGTCAGTATCTAGCCAACCCCTCACGAGAGTTGCATGTGGCACAAGGCTGAGTTTAACGTGGGTTTCCCGAGTTCGTAGACTCGGCCAAAAATTGCCTGTAGAACCCGTATAAACGGGATCGGGTTGGTCAACCTCCCCGAACAAGACTTTGCTCTTCGGCGGAGTCTCTTCCGGGTTCCTCTCTGCTCAGAGGCAGAGTTAGACCGTCAAGCCGAGAAGCTCGGCTTGATTCGGTATCTAGCCACCCCCACGAGGGGTTGTGGCACAAGGCCGAGTTTTATCGTGGTATTCCCGAGCCCGTAAGCTCGGCCAAAAAATGCCCGTAAAACCCGTATAAACGAGAACGGGTTGGTCATTTTCCCCGAACGAGAATCTGCCTCGTCCGGGTTCCTTTCTGCTCAGAGGCAGAAAGTTGGACCGTCAAGTCGAGAAGCTCGGCTTGATTCGTCCCTCTCTCTTGAGAGGCGCAGTATACATAGTGTTAGGAAGAGTTCATTCTGTAGTTATAGGTAAGGACCCATGACAGATATTCTGATCCGCCCGCAAATATTGGTTGTGTAAATTCGTTATTCAATCTCTTCCAAATGTTGCTTCATCTCTAAACAATTCTGAGGAGACGGATCAGCATTTTATGCAATTAAAGATCGTCAAAAGCTACCCCGTGATATTTGATCAGTAGGCGAAAGACTGCGCACGTTGTAAATAATACGGATACAGAAGCTGCCCTTGAAGTACCCTCTAGGCGGTACTACGAGGTGTACGACACGCTGCGCTATTTGACGTGTGTTGATATCTGTATCGTCTCTGACAAGCTGCAGAATATTTTTTACTGACCAGGCGTACGAGTGGATCTCGGTCTTCATAGATCCATAACTTATGATTCTATCGGATTGTGTCTCAGCAACACGACGGTAAACAGCAGAAAAGTTTGAATGACTCAACTGCATGCAATCTGATATAGCCGTAAAGCCACAACTCCATTTGCATTAACGCGGCTTGCTCACGAGAGGAATATCACGCCTTTGTTAAACGAACAATGTTCAGTAAAGTCACTACGAAACACGTTAAACGTTAAAGGCAGACTAGCCATAAATTTACACGAATAACTGTTGTGGTACGATCCACCTAATTTACATAGTGGAGTACCGACCATATAAATATGGGTTGGTACCGGGAAGACGAGGGAAGAAGTAAGAAGATATCCAATCGAGAGACTCTGCCCGACTGCGATTAAGTCAACCCATTCTACAGGAACAGTCTTCCCAAGAATATACCAAAACTAACTGTAAATATTGTGTACCTTTTCCTTGTTTCAATACATTTTGTTTACGTACATTTTGTGTTGTATTATTATTATCCCATGCTTATCCAAGCTTCAACAATAACAAATCTAACGAACAGAGCCATCTATCCTAAACTTACTTTAAACTTAATTCAAAAAACGAAGGATTTGCAGATATATATTTATATGAAAATGTGTCCTTGTTTTGTTGCAAGAAAGGTGTTTCTAATGTTGGGACGAGTATTTTTGATAAATTCTATCTGTCTATGTTTCTCTCTCTCTCTCTCTCTTTATATATATATATATATATATATATATAGATAGATAGATAGATAGATAGATAGATAGATAGATGAGAAGCTCTTCAGTAAAATGAATGGGGCATAACTTTAGCTGCTTGGCGTTTGTTTACG